CAATTTAAAAAAAAACAACAAAACTTTTGCTGCTACCCCACAGAGCTAATTTAAAAAAGAATTCATTCAAAAAATGAGAGTGAGGGGAAAATTGCTAAGAAACCATCAAAAAGTTACTATTGAGAGAGCAACAGATACCATCAATACCATCAAAAACCCCCAAGTTCAATCTTGTAAACTCTTCTCTTTCCCTGTTACCCTTCCCAGTCCTACAGCAATCCTGCCAGTGATTCAGCATCAAAACTAAAGTGGATGAAAATTCAGCACCTGGGGTTTGCCTGTTTTACCAGGCCCCCACCCCATGTCCCCAGCCAAGGCTGTGTCAGCTTCTGAGACACAATCTGTCCCAGCACTTTGACAGAAAGTTCTCATAGGAGGCCATCCTTCACTTCTCTATGGTGAATGTCCTCCTGGTTTTACAGGCATATTGCCAAAGACATGGGGATTAAGCAGGCTGATATCTCTTAGATAAAAGCCCATAGATTTCAGGCTCTAGTTCATCTGTTCTCATCTCCTCATTCAGCCCAAGTATGAAACTTCCTTCTCCTTCTGAAAAGTACATAATCACAACAATTACACATTATTATTATTTCCAATACATAAATCAGTTTCATACCCTCTGGGAGAAGACAGCTAAGATTTCAGCTTACAAAAAAATCTGAAAAAGACCTTTTGTAAATTCACACTTTCTGAAATTCTAATTTATGTATAATGTTCCGATTTCTGCACGTCTGTCTTTACAAGGAAAAAGCCAACAAAACACAGAAAATCACTTCTGCTTCTGCAAATACCCTCTCTTATATGGTATTCAGATAGCAGCCTCATAATAGTATCACCAAAAGCATACATTCTCTTCTTGCAGTACTCTTCTTCATTTAAAACCTCATAAAATATTATAATTATTTTAACCAAAACAAGGCGTGGTAAAAACATGCAGCAGGCGTAGGAACCAATCCACCTTGGTGCTGAGCTTGTGCTACAGCACCATCAAAAAAGACTCCCTGTAAGCTGCAAACATCAACTGGATTGTGCAGCACAAAGGAGGCATCTCACAAGAAATCCACTCTCTGCCTAATTCTCTGGAGAGCTTCAGAGCCACCTACTCACTTCATCAAGTAGAGGGGGTATTTATGGACTCAAGTCAGCACCAACACTTCATTAAATACCTAAAATTCAGGAGCCCAAGTAGGGAGACTAAATCTTTCCTGATCACTTTTAAACCACCTTTGGTTTTCTTGCTGGACTGCAAATGGAATTGTTGCCCTTTATTAGAACTTCTCTTGTCGGCTGCAATATAGACATACACATGAGAATAAAGTGGGTGGAAAATTAAGTTCCTATGCTTTCCCTTGTGGTGGCCTTCTGAATGATGCTTTCTTGCAAAACCAGTGGTGACCAAAATGAGGGCACACATCCTGAGCTGTTGCTGCTGCTAAAACCAGCCAGTCAGTGCCACAAACACGACTGCATTAAACATGCTCCTCTAATTACACTTTCCAAAGTGCTTGGATATTTTAGAAAGACAGAATTAAAATGTGCCATATGCACCACCCTCCTGTTAGAAATGTGATGAAAAAGACAGTGAAAAGGAAAAAAAAAAACCCTCTGAATGTTGTTATCGCTGTCCTTCTGGGCCTCCTGAGCCCTCCCTGCTTCCTCCTGCCAACAGCTCAAACCACCTCACGCTGCTGGCAGCAGTGCAGGGAAGTGGCAGAAATGCAGAAATGCAGGATTTTTCCCTTTGAAGGCTGGTTTCTAAGTGAGGACACTGCCCCACAGCCACAGGGCTTGGAAGATTCCTGGTTCCTGCACACCTCGAGCACTATAAACAATAGGCAAGTCCTCCAAGAAAGCAGTACCTGTGGCTAACCCAAGTTCCAACAAACCCCAAGCTGAGATGACTTAGATATGACTGCAGGTATGACTGATAGCATTTTCCACCAAATTAAACAGCTCCACAGAAATATTTCTGACCAATGCTACCTCTGAATAAGACTGTGTGGAGCCATTCAGCAGTCACACACTTCTAAGCTATTTTCATTAAAGTTTTATTCTCTTTATGAATCAAAAAAATTATTTCCTGCTACCACTTTACACAGTAATCCATTGTTTTATTTTCTCTAGGGAAACCCTGGCACCTATGAGCAATAAGGACTGAGGAACCTTAGTTCAGCTAACTACCACTGCACGTTGTGGAGCTCAAAACCACATTTACAGACCTGTAAGTGCATTTACCCTGCAAAGCAAGAGGGTATCTGCCATTCTTACTAGGCCCTTTGCTAGTATTTCTCAGGTGTTTTTTTGGGCACGGAGACATTTTTCAAAGGAAATACCTACAAAGTTTAAAAGGAAGAACATTGTGGCAGAGGGAAAAGAGAAGAACTGAAAATTGTCTTGTATTGAACAGTATAAAATTGCAGTGTCTCCTCAGTCTCATCCACTTGTATCTGCAAGGCAAAGGGAGGAAGAGTTCACCTCTGGTGAACTCCTTCTGTTGCTGAGGTCCAACAAGCCACAGCATCCCCAGAAGGAGAGAAATTCAGGTAAATAAGGTATTACAGAGATGTGCATTTATTTTTGAGCAGAATATAAACTGGGTCAGCTCTCTGGTTTCATTGTGACCCACAGTGACACAAAACATGAGCATTTCTGATCAAGCCCAATCATCTGCTCCTGTGCTGTAGCTGAGAGATGCTGATCCTTCCATGTAAACCTAACCCTTCTCTGCCTTCAGCAAATCTTGTATTTATGGTTTAACTGCTTCCTTAAGTAAACATCCCACTGCCTGCCTGACCCTCCTATCAGACTTGCCCTGATAGCAAAGATAAATGCATATTTCGATGCTAACACGTATTTTCTTCCTAATTGTATCATCTGAGTCCATTAAGAACAAATATTCCCCATCTTCTATGTCACAGCACATAGGCAGACTCCCCTGAATGACTGATTTTTTTGTTTGTTCAGGTTAGACTTAGCAAATTAACTGTTTTTACTCTCTCTGTGTGGCTTGCACTCTCAAAACCCTACAGTATTTCTTTACCCTTCTTTGAACCCTCCCCATCTAAGATGTAACATCTGCTGTTAGAAAGTTAACACATGTATGATTTCATCCAGGTTTAAGCAGGATTGACTGAATTATGAACACTGAACACTCTAAGAGTGATCTTGACCAACCTGACTATTTTTTAAAGTTTATTTACTGCCATATGAAGACAATTCTTTCTTGCAATTTTGCAGAAATTTGCAGAGCCAAAACAAGAGGTTCCCATATGCAACTTCCTCTCCTTTAAACGTGATTTTGAGATTATATTTTTATATTTCTCAATAATACCACTGAAAGCAATTTTGCTCAATTTGAAGTAGCTGAAACTGTTTGCAAATGTTAAATTAGTATTTCCATCTACACAGGAAATCTTGCTCTTATTTCCATACAAACATATTGCCTAGATCTTTTTGAATCCTTTTTGCCTCAGAATTTGTATTTATTTTGAGACTGGGCAACTGGAAATGTTTGGGGTTCCCAATCCTCCCACTCCCCCCAGCCCCCAAGTATTTTACTTAACTATGAAAGGAAATCAAGTGGATTTTAATTATGGTTAGGCAAAAGTGGAACAGTCAAAACTGTAACAAATGGTTTTCTGTCATGGGAACAAGACTTTCAAGATGCACTTGTCTAACAGATATTAATATAATAATTAATTAATTACTTTTGGAAGGGGATGTATTTACTCAGGATGATAAACTCTGAGGAAGCATCTGGTTTAAAATCCTACCCTGCTTTTGCTCTGTTTTATAGCTGACTCGATCAAGGCTGAAGGAGGTCAGTAACTTGGCTGAGGTCAAATTAGGTTTTTGGATATTGCCTTACTTCATTCCTTTCTCCACAATGGGAGGTTGGCTTGTAAGAACTTGAAAAATACCTCATAAGATAGTACCTTTAAATTTAAGTCCAGAAAAAGAAAGAAGTTTAAAAATTATGACCCAAAAGTATGACATGATGGAGAGAAGTTTCCAGAAATATGGCAAACTATCAACTGCAAAGAATGCTTGCTTTAGGTAAAGACAGAAGTCAAATATACAAGCAAAATAACACAACTTTTGGTCAAGTTCTTCACCACAACCTAACTTCTACTCGGCTAATGTCAATGTACTCTAGAGAGAGTAAATATTTAAAGAAAGATGAAAATAAGGCAGAAAAAATGAAGGATTACTCTACAGCTCTCCCAACAGGACAGAAACAATCTCCACCAGTCCCAACCACTGGACTCTGACTCTTACATGCAGAAAACTCTTCAGGTGTCCATTTTCTACAGTGATACTGGTCTCAAGCTGTCCTTGGAAGCAACCCAATATTTCCAACACAGACTCCATCAATGGAATATATTTGGATCATTTCAAACATGAGAAATCCAACTTGGAAGACACTTATCCAAGGACAAAAAAAAAAAAAAAAAAAAAAAAAAAAAAAAAAAAAAAAAAAAAAAAAAAAAAAAAAAAAAAAAAAAAAAAAAAAAAAAAAAAAAATCCAGGCAAAGCTCAAATTTCAGATATTTCAGATCCCTTTTCTGAGGGTGACAGACACAAATTGCTCCATATTATTAATCTTCTGTTGCCTTCTCAGCTCAGATATCTCCACACACTGGAGACACATGAGAAAAAGCAGTGAGCTGATCAGAAATTTGGCAGCTTTCTTCAGTTGTCCAAGCTAAGCTAAACATAAATTAATAGGACAAGAGGACACCACAGGGCTTTTTTTTCCTTAAAAGCAGGCATGCAAACAATTCATATTTTCAGATTAAAAGAACGTTCCCGAGAGAAGAAAAACAAAGATATAATGAAAAAAAAGATAGGAAATAAAAGTGCCTGTTTTAATTATACAAAGTTCAGATTACCAATGAAGCTCAGGAATATTTTTCACTCGTGAAAACACGTTTTAAAGCTCTCCTTCCAACAGCTGTGTGAAATTCAGTGGGAATTTCTGGAAGACGGGAGCGCCTTACCAGGATCATGTGACCGGTGGAGATGTCCATGTTGGACTGGACCGGCTCCTCGCTCCAGGACGAGGTGCTGCTCCGGGCCGAGGGGCTGGGCACGGGCCCATCGCTGAGCTGTGAGGAAACGCTGCTGATTCGGGACGCGCGCGGGGGCTCCGGGCGGTCAGAGGTCTTCACCGCCATGCGCTGCCGGCATAGCTCCTGGAGACAGAGAGAGAGAGGGGAGGAAACAACCTACAGCTGAGTAATTACAGGATAGAGTCTACTAAAGACATATGATTTACAATATGTTTCCAGAGCTGGAAGTGTTTTCCCCCTCACTGCAGTAATTTTTGGGCGGCTGTCTGTTCTGTTAAGCTACAAAGGGATGCTCAATGAAATTACTACACGATGACTACCCTAACCTTTCAAAAGTGGCTGCACGCACATCTCCGTATAGATAACCAAAAATCCTATTTTGGAGCTTGACTCCTCTAGCAGATATATATTTTTTTTTCTTCCCCTAATATTGCCCCACATTCTGCAAAGCCACTTTTGAACCACACAACCTCCTGAAGTTAATGGGGTTGCACGGGAGTAATTGAGAGCACTGCTTGGCCCTGGATATGCAAACTCAGCAAGCTCAAGGCAACTGAATTGATGTGCTCTCCAATGTAAATCCTAGTTGATAGATGCCTCATTTCTCTTCATTAAAATAGCAAACTCGCAACACTTCCTCCCTGATGTGGGGCAGAGAGGATGAAGAATGACATTAACGAAGAATAAAAGCAGAAATCTGTCATTGTATTGTTTAAGCAGCTTTGGCGAATAAAGGAAATTCAAGCTATCACACACACTAATGCAAGTCGTGTTGAAACACCAAAATAGATAGCACTGGGAATACGTATTTTCAGTTGCTCTCATGCATAGAATTCGTGAAAATATATAGAATTCTGGTTAGGTAACAGAAAATCCTGCTGGTAAAACCAACTCCTAATAGTATAAAATTCTGATTCTAACAAGATGAGCAGACCCACAGTTACTCTGTCATGTTGCAATGCTGTTAGAATCAGCTGTAGTGGTGAGACCACAGACACTGTAATAAAATGATCATTTTTTTAACATATGACTATTGTCCATGAGGGGTCCTTGGCTGCTTGGTAAGTCTATAGGATGTGGCCATATTGCACACACAGTGTGGGAACAAATTTATCTCAGATTACTCATTCTGCACAGACAAGTACTAGAAGCTCAATCTTTTGCCTCAGGCTAACAAAATAATACAGGCTGAAAAATTCATACCACTGGAATGCCATGGCTTCTGTTTTCTTATTCATTGATAATTTAGTTGCAGCCCAAGTGCCATTAGTAGGATGATCTGAAAACCATTATTTATCAAGTGCAATAAAATCTTTTCACACAGGAGTTCAAAATATAACTTAAGACTACGTTTAGGGCTTTTTTTAACCTTGCAAACTCTAGGACACTGAAGGGGGATCCTAATCTATGTAGCAGTAAGCATTCAAACAAACTCCCTGAAACCATCATATAGAAACTTCTGTCACCACATGACAATGATTAAAGACCCCTTCAAATATTCTTTTCTACCAAAACTTCTGTCTTATTTGCCATTAGAGGTGCTTATGTGGACTCTTACTATTTGATGGTATTTAATACAGTATGTATATATATAGATACATATATGTATGTATGCATGTACAAATTAAGATACATTGAGATGAAATGTGTATAATTTATAAACAGGATATATTTCACTGAGCTACAAAAACACAGTCAACAGAAGCTTGGGAAGCAGAGATTACTAATTCTATATGGTGTCAGTTGTTGGAATAACTGTACAGAAAACTGCTACCTGACTCCATCACTGCATTTTTTTATATTTATTGATTTTGTCTAGGCCATGAAAGAATTTTTCCAATTTTTACCAAAAGTAGGGGTGTTCTACACTTGAGTAGTATGTATTCTGTCAGTTGGTACCTTTGTAGCATGAAAACATGAAAAATATTAGAAAAATAACTTAAACTTCAAAAGTATGTTTAATTGACTCACATATATTGCTGTTAAATAGGTCAGTTAAACTATCTGTACTAAACCCAAGATTTTAATAAAGGAAAAGATATCTTATATTTTTAAATGTAGGAACAAAGAAAAAACCTCTTTTTCTCCTTTTCTCTGGAGGATCACACACTTTATAAGAAAGGATAGCAATAGTCCTCACTGTCTATTACTAACCTCAGAATGACCCTGCAGTAGTGTAATTTCAAATCCCAGCTTTTAGCAGGTTTGGGAAAAATAATAACAGAGTGGAAGCTTTTTAGACAGAAAAATAAATCTACAAAAAACCAAAAAGCTGCTCAGATGTTTAAACATCAGCCATTCCCAGAGAGAATGGTTTATTGGACTAAGCAAAAGTATAATAAGTAAAGGTATAAAAATAAGAAGTCCATCACATAAAACCTAGAAGGATGTGTCTTCTGGCTAGCATGCCATGTGGCATTGATATGAATTTATTATATTCTAATAGACATCCTGCCACTTGACTCACCCCAACTCTGTGCTAACAATAGCATTTGTACTCAAACAGGATCTTTGTTTTTAAGTTGATCTGTTCCTGCTGTTCATATCCTGCCTCAAGCCATAATCCTCTGCTTTTACAAGTGGTTGCTGTGGAAAGGATTATAGACCTCTGTTAACAAAAAAGAATTGAGATCAAGTGATCTCTAAGAAATTAATGTACCATTTTTACATGAATTATAATGACAAAAAGAAACAATCTTTAGACAATTGATTCTGGACCAGATTAACCTCTAACCAAAATATTTTTGGACATAAAGAATTTAGTATGCTACTAAGAAATGTTGTTTTAAAATGAAGTTTAACATGCTCATGGTCCTTGTGGAAGAAGATGAAGTTGAGAATCCTAACAAATTTAAATACATTTTTTTAAAAATTACCTTCTCTCAAATTTTAACATATTTGTTTCCTGACATATAAAGAACCAAAATAATAATTCCCAGAACTGCTTTTACTGTCAAATACCTCAAACAAAGCACCCACGTCACTGCACTCTGCCGTAAAAAATGCTTAATGTAAACAGGAAGGTCAAATCATAGCTGAAGCAAACACACTTCTGATTTTCTTGACTGGAGTTTTAAATCTCCATGACAATGAATTTTCCTCTGCCTGCAGACAGAAGATTTTGGGTTGAATTTATTTCCAGATCAGTGTGACAGCCCTCGACAACTCTACCTTGCCCCTTTCCCAGCTAGCCCAGCCCTGGCTGAGGAACCTGCCCCATCCCCATGCACACATCAGCCACCTCAGGACAGCCACAGCTTCTGCTGCCCCAAAGCCACCTCTCTGCCAGCCCAACCATTCCAGCTCCCACCTGGGTTTCTAGCCTGGCACTGCAGGGACAACATGTTCAAGACCACCACATGTAAAAGCTTCGAGTGTTTTGAGGAGCCATTTGAGTTCCTCCAGGACAGACGGACAAGGAATGTCCAGCTGAAAGCAGGGAAATGTCTTTACGTGGAATTTGGCATCAGTGTTCCCTTCCTACAAAAGGCATTGGGAACAGCGGGGTCTCAGAGTGTGGGGTGTTTCACACCATCCCATGGCACTTACTGAGCTGGCATCTCTTCACAAATGCAAAAAGCCCTGAATGGTTCAGACCCTCATAAATACAATATCTGTTACTTGTGCACTTCTCTGCATGCTCAGGTATGCTCTGTCTTCCTCTCCAAAATCTTTACTCTCACAAGAATTTTGCAAATCAGCCATTTACTAAACCACAACTAGAATTCATTCTTGACTAAAATGTCAAAGCTTCATACTGTGAGAATTATATGAACTGTATTTCTGTATTGTCTCAGCCATTAAAAATATTTTCTAAGAATGAATTCAATTTACTGCTGCATTTCTATATTTAGCAGAGTGGCTGAGGCTATTTCTGCCATGCTGCGACTCAGTAATGTCTAGCCATTGTTTGTGTATAGTTCTAGTGCCATTCTTCATTTAAAAACATCATTTACACCTAAAAAAGCAACCATAATGCATACAGTGAAAGATGAAGAAACGATCCTCCTGACCTTCAGGCTATGATCTAATGGATGGGTTGGACATAAACATTTATTTAAAAGGTAATTTGAAGTTTATGACATTATTTCCCATCACATGGGAATTGCTATCATACTAAGGCACTTACTCTGTTTTTTATTTCCCAGCATTTATTATCAAACTGATATGGCGGTCACATGCAGTATATAATGGAGAAGTAATATTGCTGTATGCCAAAAACTGCCATAACCAAGATAAATATTCTGTAAATAATGTTGAGTTAAATGAGTTCAAAGCACTGCACCATGATCATCTGCAGCGAGCTTTTTATTTGACACACAATTGATAACCTTAAACAAACCATAAACAGTATTCTTGGAAACCCCTCAATCCTCTTCACAATGAGGTTCTAAAATATTCCTAATACTTGGCTGTCCACACAGAGACAGGCAGAAGCATGAAGTGCAACTATTTCCTCAAGTGCAACAAATAGATTCTCAAATCCATACATTCTACTTGTGAATTAACCACTCTGCAGCATAAATGTAGCTTATCCACATTTAAAGAAAGGCATTAAGAGACTTGCTGCACCTCCTGGACAAAACTGAGAGCCAGTCTTGCCACCATATTTTGTTAGGTGGGTCTCTGAGCCTGAAGGGGTAAAAAACTCTCCTCTCAAACGAGGAGGCATCAAATCTGTTCAGAAATTGAGCCCACAGATACCTGTCCAGGCTGTTCTGGAGATGTGAGTTGCTTACCAGCAGGAGTTTTGGGCTCTGTCACCAGCCAGTGATGGGAGCTGCATCTCCTGCCATGTGGCTTTGTGATGCACAGCAGCCACTGCTGCCACAGAAGGGCAAGGCAGCAAAAGAGAGCTCAGAGAAAATTTTATCTGTCATCTACTGGAAAATCCACTTAAGGAAATTGGAAAATCCATTGAAGCTGCACAGTTTCTTGAAACGTTTGGTTTTAGAGAGAAATATATGTATATGCCCTGGTAAGGATTATGAGTATAGGTAACCATAGAACTTAAACCAGATGTAACTGAGGCTAATGGATAATATTGAATCTTTTCCCTTGATTTATTGGCAAAAATGGAATTTGAGAACCACAGGTGACACAATACAGGCAGGAGAGCTGAC